GCTGGGCTCCCCCTCACAGCTGTCTCTCAGGGACGTCTCCGAGCCAGCCTGCGGAGGCTGGCGTGGGCATCGCTCTCAGGGCCTGCGGGGGCCTCTGGAAACTGGGCATCCTTCTGTTTGTCACCCTCTTCCTCACAAACAGAGGTAGGTGAGCACCCTTGGAGAGGGGGGACGCAGGCTGGCTAGGACCACACCCCAAGCTCCAGCCTTCTTGGCTTGACCTGTTCCAGGGAGGAGGAGGGAGCCAAGCCCAAGGGCCCTGGGCTCCAGCAAGACCTTTCAGAGCTCATCGGCCTGCCCGGAAGCCGCACGTGTGCTGACCCTGAGCAGGCCAGCGCCTTGGGTCACCGCCTTGCACCGTGGAGCCCCTCCTGGCTTCTGTGGGCTCCGCGTGCACCCCCAGGGGCTCCTGCTGGCTCTGGCCTGTCTTTGCTCCTCCTCATGGCACCGTGTGTCAGGGAGGGCACAGTGCTTCCTGCAGGGGCAGCTGTGGCTGTGGGAGCTGACACACATCGTGGCCTGGACCTGGGCATTCCACATGGGGCTGACTGTGAACCTGGTGTGGGTCTGGTACAGGTTCCAAGGTACCTGGCTGTGAGAGGGAGGCCCCTTGAGGAAGGGTCCTGGCCCACAAGCCCAGCTTAGAGCCAGCTCCCTGGTCTGGGGGTGTGGGCCAGGGGCGGGGCGGTGAGGGAGGAGGCAGGCAGGCAGTACCCAAATGAGGATATAAGCAAGGGGACAGATTTGGGTCCCACTCGGGGCCCAGACAACAGCCAGGCCCGGGCCCTCCAGGGCTTGACCCCAGCCAGAGGACGCACTGGACAGACTCTCCTGGGTCTTGCTCACGTTCCTGCCCACCGTCCCCTTGGCTGTGGTGACCACCGTCAGTGCTGTGCTTCTGATCAAGGGACGAGGTACAGGACTGGGACATACCTACCGCCAGACTCCCCAGGGTCCCTGCCTCCCGCCCAGGGCTGTGTTTCAGGGTCAGGTCTTCTCCATCACCTGACCCCACCAGTTCTCCAGGCTCGCTCGGCCTGGGCAGGGAGAAGGGTCGGTGGCCACGTGCTGGCCTCACTCTGCTGTGGGGTGGGGTTCCATAAAGGGGGCGTTATGGGGCGGCCCTGCACCCCCTCATCGGGGCACTGCACAGAGATGGGGAAACACTTGCCAAGTGGTAGTCTGCACGGTGGGAAGAGCCCACCGATGTCCCGCTCACAGCCCTGCTGCTTCCAGGGGTCCTTGGACAAGTCGCCCTGTGCCTCAGTTTCTCCATCTGTGAAATGGGAGCAGAGGCCGCTGGAACTGCCCCCTCAGGGTCATGAAGTGCGCAACCCCACTGGCTACTCCTGAGGGAGGGGCTCACCCAAGTGTCAGGAGCTGAGTAGGGAGGGTGAGCCGGACAAAAGGCACAGCAAGACCCGCAGAGAGTGCGCCCTCCAGCCTAGAGCGGCCTGCTGGGGCTGGGGTGTGGGGCTGTGTGGGGTGGGCACTAAGTAGCCTGAGCAATAGCGTGAGCAGCTACCCAAAAACCCGCCCTGGGGTTCCCCGGCAAGCTGCCAGCAGAGCGCTGGGAGAGGACGTGAGGGCAGGGCAGTCGGGGAGGGGGCAGCCTTGGCCGCAGCTGAGCCACTGCTCACCCCCCTTCCTCCTAGTGTCTTTCCAGCTCAGTGTTCCTGCCAGGAGATGAGTGACCCCTCACCCCAGACCCTCCCCAGCCTGAATCTGGAGGGACAAAGACCACCACCCTATCCACAGAGTGGGGGAGGGGGCAGGAACCCCAATTGTGGGGAAGAGATGTCATAGGTAAGGCCTGGCTTTGACTCCAAGCCCTCGGAGGTTGGTTCTGTCTCTGTGGGCGGCGGGGAACCCGGAGGACACAGCACGCGAAAGGCCCCTGGGGTGCGGGTGCATCTCAGCCTGGGGCCAGGCACTCAACCCTTCCTGGGAGAGGGGCGGCTCCTGCAGCCAGCCTTGCAGCCGAGCCTGGGGGCGGAGCGCGGGCCAGGGAGCAGGTGGACAGGGTCCCCGCCTTCCCCTACCCTGGGGCCCTGCAGCGAGGCCCCGACGTGGGGGCCGACTCCAGGGGGTGCAGAGGCGCAGAGGGAGAGGACGGCAGGTGCTGAGCGGCGGGGAGGAGCCAGAGCTGGGCGCGGCCCAGAGCGGGTGAGGGCGGGACCCAGGCTGTGGACCCGCGGGGCTGGGGCGCTGTCTGGGTGAGCCCCGACTGCTCCAGGGCTGGGTGCGGGGCCGGCGCTTCCCACGCGGCTCTCCAAACCATTGGGTCGGGACTGCAGCCATGGGAAGAAGGGAGCGTCGGGGACACTGGAGGCAGAGAAGAACAAGGCGCTCGCCAGCCCTGCCCTGGGAGGAGCCATCTGGGAGGAGCCATCTGGGAGCCGCGAAACCGAGACGAAGCATGGAGAAATCCGGGAGGCTGGCGCGACTTGAAACCCGATGCCCCTGGAGCCCTCACCGGCACCAGAGATTAAAGGGCGGAGGCCAACCAGACTCCCTCTCCCCGAGACAGCAGTGTGGGGCCTGCAGCCCGGGAGGGGAAGGGGCGGCCTGCTGGCATCCGTCGAATGGGGACGGTGGCCCCCGCCGGGTGCTGAGGGCGACCAAGGGGAGAGCGCTGCCGGCGGTCCTGGGAGCAGAGCACCCCTGGCTGGAGACGCCAGGCTCTGAGAGAGAAGCAAACTTTCTCAGGGGCGGGGGAGCCCCCGCTGCACAGTCGCCCAGTATCTTCCCTGATTCTACTTGGTCTTTCCACCGGTTTCTGTAAGAAGTTGACACCAATTTCATATTAAAAACTAAAGAAAACCAATACATATGTGGGCACCCGGTGGCTCTGTCGGTTAAGCTTCCAACTCTCCCTATCTCTGCTAGGCCTTAATCTCTCAGGGTCGGGAGCACACGTCCCACACTGGGCTCCATGCTGGGCGAGGAGCCTGTCATTCAAGGCCGACATTCAGATGCTGCTTATGAATCAACGTTTCTTCAAAAGTTCCACGCCAAGTGGAAGCGTGCATCGTCCTGAGTGTATGTCATTTTATTCTTTCTCATAAACCTCACTTTTTACTAGGAAGAAAACGCCTCTTCTGTGTTCGTAATTGGAAGAGGCTCTGCCCCACACCCCATGCGGCTGTGGCCGACAGTAGCAAGTCCAGAGACAGGACGGTCATCGCAGCTCTGCAATCAGCCTCCTAACACGCTTTTCCACACAAGCCTTCCTACCGATGGGGGTTCCTTCTGGCCTGCTCCTCCCAGACTCACCAGTGGACAAGTCTGAAATCTGTCCACGCTACAGCAAACGTGGACAGACGTAGGCAGTGACCTATATGACAACAGGACCCAAACAGGTGTAGATTTAAGGTGCAGGTCAAAGGGGAGAGAGAGACACCTCTTGGACGGGCATCTGACAGCCTGGGAGGCGTGGGTGCCGCTGCTGTCAGCACCGCTCCCAGACCTAGCCAAGGTGGAATTATATGAAGGGTTTATGGCGCTGTTTTCCACATGTCACAGCAAAAAGAGCAACAGCAAAATGCTTGCTGGACCCCTTGCTCTCCAGCCATCCCCCCAGCTAGGAAGGGAAGCTGACCCCGGTCTGGTCAGTGGGATGAATGTAAGGGCCTACTTAGCCAGAGCGAGCCATTTTGTTGTTTATGCAGTAAACTTAGATTGAACCTGCCCCTGCCCCCAAGAGGAAAGCGCTTAGAAACAGAATTGGTGAAATACGGCCAAATAGCCCCCAATAACGGAGTCCAGATTCAAGGATGTGTCAGGCCAGATGGAAACGTCCAATCAAGGGAAAGCGCACGTATTACCTCCCTACCCGCCGAGGATGTGTTCCGCCAGGTGGAGACGTCAAATCAGGAAAGCACCTCCCTAACCACCCAAAACTGTGGGCCCTGCCTTTTGGGCGCCAATTCTGACCAGAGTGATAGGCTAGTTCGAATAACTGCTATAGGGTGAACTGTAATTCAGCTGGCCGCCCGTGTGTGGCCGGGCTCACCACAAGGCCTTTGCTCTACAAAAGTTAGTCTGTGAGGCTGGGAGGGGTCGCCCCTTTGCAAGAGTCGGCCCTGGCCGGTCAGTTTGATTCTCGATGCTTGGCGCCAAATAAAGCCCTGCTTAACTTTCGCTTTGTATCAGTCTCTCCTTTTGTCTGCGGACCCTTTCAATGAGTTGAACAGGTGCGCACGTGTGGGCGAAGGAGCCCCACAGAGGAAATCCCAGAGAGAGAAACAGCGGACAACCCACGAACGGACACGATCTTCCTAGTAACCCTAACTCCCCCGGGGGCCTCCAGAACGAGTGAAGAGTCACGAAGTGCTTCGAGGAAAACCAGGACCCCCAGACAGCAGAAAAGCGGTGGGGCGCTCTGTCCCGACAAGCTAGAGGGAACCTTCACAGCGCAGGGCGGGCGGCTTGCTCACGGCTGGAGACCGGAACTTGGGGAGCCCTCTCCCACACGGGGCGACCGGGCCGAGAGTCCGCTGCGGCGCAGACGGCGGAGGGCGCAAGTCCGGCACTGGAGCGTGGGGGCTGCCCCGGCTGCGGGCGGCTCGGCCAGACTCGGGGGCAGCGTCCTCCTCCGGAAGCCCGAACCCCGCCGGCCCGGTCGGACCTCTGCAGGGCGCCCACGCAGGCCGCCACGCACCGACTTCGGGGCGAGGGACTGGACGGAAATGCCCGAGGGGGGTCAGCCGTTGTCCGGGCGACGGGGTGGCTCCGGGGGAGGGCGGCCGAGTTCTGTCTCCGCGGAGACCGAGCAGGCTCCGCCAGCGCCACGGAAGGCCGGCACCCCCGCCCGACGGCCCAGGCCCAGGCCCGGAAGGAGCCCAAAAGGAAAGGCTGGAGACGACACCCTGAGCCCCAGCCTGACCCCTCCCCCATTCTCGTGGCCCAGGGCCGCGTCCCACCCCGCCAGAAGACGCAGGCCGGGGGAAGGCAGGGCCTAGGCTGGAGGCGCGGGCCGGCGCCCCAGGCCGCGGCCCATGGCGCCCAAGAAGCAGCGCGGGCCCGGCGCGGGGCGGCGGCCGGGCGCGGCGGGAGACGGCGGCGAGCGGCTGTCGGAGCGCGGCCAGTACCTGCAGCGCGAGCACAGGCTGCTGTCGGAGCAGCTGGACGCCTGCGAGGCGCGCGTGGACCAGGTGCTGCGGGACAACGCCTGCCTGGACCGCGAGGCCGCGCGCCTGCGCGAGGAGAACCGGCTCTACGCCAGCTACGTGAGCGCGCGCGCGCAGCGCTGCGCCCGGGCCGTCGTGCGGCTGGACGCGCAGAACCGCGTGGACCTGACGCAGATCCACTGGCAGCGGGCCGAGCTGGCCTCGCTGTACCGCGGCCGCGAGGACGGCGTGCGCGCGCAGCTGCTGGACACGGAGGCGCGCGCGGCGCGGATGGCGCGCCAGGTGCAGGAGCTGCGGCCCTACAAGGCTAGTGAGCGCGCGCCCGGCGGGCGGGGGGGCGGGCGCGCGCCGCGCGTCCCCGCGCTGACCCGCGTGTCCCCGGCCGCCGCAGGAGCTGCAGCTGGAGCAGTTGGCGCGGATCCGCGCGCTGGAGCGCGAGCTGCTGCACATGCGCGTGGAGCACACGCAGCTGCTGCACCGCGTCAAGGGCCGCTTCCTGGAGGACAAGGCGGCCTTCGAGCGCGAGGCGCGGCAGCGGGTGCAGTCCCTGGCGCGGCGCGCGGAGCGGGAGGCGGCGCGCGCGCTCGTCCTGCACACGCAGGCCATCCGGGCTGACAACGCGCGCCTGCGGCGGGAGCTCCTGCGGCTCCTGCGCTGGGCCCAGCTGCTGCACGACACGCGGCGCCGGCTTCTGGAGCAGCGGGACCAGCTGCGGCGCGAGCATGAGGACACCCGGGACCTGGCGCGGGTGCATGGCTGGCTGCGCCGGGGCCGCGACGGACCGCCGCTGTGGCAGCCGCCGCCGCCCGCCTCGCGTCCCGGGTCCTTCGCCCCCTCCACAGCGCCATCGAGCGTGGCTCCCCGGGCCCCGTCGCGCGCGGGATCCGGGTCACTGTTCCCGTCGCACGTGGGCCCCAGGATCCCATCGCAGGCCCCTTCGAAGGCCGGTTCACGGGTTCCTTCCCAGCACTCATCGCGCGCGGACTCCCGGGTCGCGTCCCTGATCCCGCCCCACCGGGGCTCCCGGGACCCGTCCTTGACCGTGTCGCGCCCAGGCTCCCAGGTCTCTTCGAGGTTCTCCTTACCTGGGCCCGCACACAGCACGACTCCCTCCGCTCAGCCTGTCCTGGGCCCAGGCTCTTCCTGTCCCGCGGTCGAAGGAGACGGCGGGCGCTGACGCCGTGGCGGAAGGCGAGTGCGGGCGAGCGCGCTGGGACGCGGGCGCGGGCGGGGCAGCTGAGCGCGCGGCGCCCGCGGACTGCGTGAACGTGGCGTTAATAAAGGTGTGACCGGCCCTCCTGGCTCTGGCGCCACAGGGACCACTCACTCTGGCTTCCAGTTCCCTAACTGCGCGGTGGCCTGATGCGTTCCTCTCCTCCTCGGCTGACCCCAGCTGCCCCGCAAGCGGACCACACCAGTATCCTCCCGCCGGCGCTGGCAGAGACGGACGTCGCCCGCACGGACAGAGGCTGCCAGAGCAGGAAAGGAGGCCAGCCGGGAGGAGCTGGGCGACCAGGGGTTGTAGCCCGGAGGGCCAGCGTGCGATGACCTGCGGTCAGGACGGCCACTGGGGCGGGGGCGGGGGAGAGTGGGGCTGCCACCAAGGGCCACGGGAGGAGTAATTTTTAATATAATTTCCAACAGAGAAAAGTTGCTGAGTACAGAGAACTCCCGTTTACCGAGATTCCGTCCCCAGGTCTGTGTCTGCATTTTTCCCTGAACCACTTGAGATTCGGTTCAAGACATTATGCCCCCTCAGTTAGAGGATTTAAAAATCCTTAGTGTTCCTGAGCACAAGAATGTTCTACCTTACCCCGGTACGATGACCCAAATCCGAAAATTTAGTACAGAGAAAACAGTATTCGCTAAGCCCCAGCTCCTACGAAAATGTCGACTGTCCCGCTCTCCGGGGCTGCACAGGGACGGCATTCAGTCCGTGCGCCAGGGCTGGCCAGTGGGACGCCCCTCGGTTGTGGCTGTGGGAGGTCCAGCAGCTCCTGGGGGAGGCCAGGTCCCGCATACCCTCAGTACTGACCCAAGGGCTGGGGACTTCATCCTGACCACAGAGGGAAGGTTCTTAGAAATCCTGAGTCTTTGGTTGCGCCCTGGGCCCAGCGCCCGCTAGGCCCAAGCAGGAGGTGGTCGCGGCCCGGGCTGGGGCATTCCGGCGGCGGCGGCGGAGGGCAGGGCTGGGGGAGCCTTGGGGACTCGCCGAGGCAGCCGCCCCTACCGTGGCAGGGGTCCGAGCAGCAAGTCCTGATGGCCCGGTCAGCCTTAAAATAAAACTGCCAGTTACTCTGCAGAAACAGGTTTGTTCAGCATCGCAGCCCGAGACCAGCCGTCGGCACAGTGTCAGAGAGGGAAGGGCGCGCCCGCGGGCGGCTGTAAGGAAAGAGCCCGCCGGCCAGAGGGAGTGCAGCGGTTTCTTGAGGCCGAGCTGTTGGTGGGGAGGGGAGGAAGCCGGTCTTCATCCCGCTGGGGTCCGAGCTGCAGTGCCTGCAAGGTCCCCGCGGGGTCCTCGAGAGCGAGGCCGGCGTGACCGCTGCTCCTGGCGGGACGAGGCCGCCGCTGGCTGATGATCACCGCCCGCGCGGGAGGACCCCGGGGGTCGGCCGGGACGGATGGAGACAGGAGTTCGGATCCCAGGTTTAACGTGGAGCCTTTAGTCATCAAGGGCAGTGTACACTGACGGCGAGCCACCCAGGGGCAGTGGGCAGAAGCCCCGCCCAGCCGCACCTAGCTGTGTAGACGGTTCTGTACGCTTCGCAACCCCCCCCCCCCGCCCCCGCCGTGAGACTTCAGTTGGAATGTCCGGTCCTGGGTGGACAGGGTTCTCCGCCCCACCCAGCAGTAAATATAGCACTCTTGCAAGGGCTCAGCATTTCTCTTTCAAAGGACCTAAGGGGGGGGGTGGCGCCTGGGTGGCTCAGTGGGTTAAGCCTCTGTCTTCGGCTCAGGTCATGATTTCAGGGTCCTGGGATAGAGCCCTGCGTCGTCTTGTCGGGCTCCTTGCTCAGCGGGGAGCCTGCTTCTCCCTCTCCTTCTGCCTGCCTCTCTGCCTACTTGAGATTTCTCTGTCTCTGTCAAATAAATAAATTTTTTAAAAAATCTTTAAAAAGAGGGAAGGGAAATTGTTATGGATTAACAGACTTAAGATACTTTTCCACTAAATGCAACATACAGACCGTGTTCAAACCCCCATTCTAATTTGAAGTGTTAAATCAAGACGAAGTGCTTTGGTGCTCATGAAGCTAGTAAGCAGTGGTGTGCCCCACACTTCCTCTTCCTGGGTACTCCTGGCAACGGATACTCCAGTCTCTCTTCTGCCCAGACACCCCATTCTCAAGACCCTTTAGCCCACTGATTCCCATAAAACAGCTCCCTAAGAGACATCACTCGGACTGGGCATTTGTCCATTTCTCCTTGTAGTTGGGTCATTTTTACTTTATGTATTTTGAAGCAATTGTTAATTGCATAGGAGTTTAGAACTCTTCCTGTAGTTCCTTTCTGCAGTATGGGGGGGTCCAGCTCTCTCACCGGTCTGCACTATTCTCCTTTACACCTCTCCCCGCAGTCTGTCTGTATTAAGATGGCTGCTCGAGCTTTCTTCTGGTTTGTCTTGCACGCCACTTTTTTTTTAAAGATTTTATTTATTTATTTGACAGACAGATCACAAGTATGCAGAGAGGCAGGCAGAGAGAGAGGAGGAAGCAGGCTCCCCACTGAGCAGAGAGCCTGATGCGGGGCTCGATCCCAGGACCCCGGGACCATGACCTGAGCCAAAGGCATAGGCTTTAACCCACTGAGCCACCCAGGCACCCCTGCATGCCCCTTTCTATGGGTGTCCATTTTATATTTCAGATGTGTCCCTAGTAACAGTTATAAGTGGTGCTTATTATTTTAAATACAGTCTAACAGGGGCACTTGGGTGACTCATTTGGTGAAGCATCTGCCTTTGGCTCAGTTCATGATTCTAGGGTCCTGGGATGGAGCCAGGTGTCAGGCTCCCTGCTCAGTGGGGAGTCTGCTTCTCCCTCTCCCTCTGCCCCTTCCCCCCACCCCCTGTCCCCACTTGTTCACTCTGTCACTCTCTTAAAAAAGTAAAAAAAAAAAAATCTTAAAAATAATACAGTCCAACAATCTTCATCTTTTAACTACACACTATAGTTATTTTATATTCGTTGATTTGCAGTATTGGTAGTATTTTTTTTAAAGATTTATTTATTTATTTATTTGACACACAGAGAGAGAGATCACAAGCAGGCAGAGAGGCAGGCAGAGAGATCGGGGGAAGCAGGCCTTCACTGAGCAGAGAGCCCGATGCAGGTCTCGATCCCAGGACCCTGAGATCATGACCTGAGTCAAGGCAGTGGATTAACGCATGAGCCACCCAGGCGCCCCTACTGGTAGTATTTTTTAAAAGATTTTATTTATTTGGGGCGCCTGGGTGGCTCAGTGGGTTAAGCCTCTGCCTTCAGCTCAGGTCATGATCTCAGGGTCCTGGGATCGAGGCCCGCATTGGGCTCTCTGCTCAGCAGGGAGCCTGCTTCCTCCTCTCTCTCTGCCTGCCTCTCTGCCTGCTTGTGATCTCTGTCAAATAAATAAATAAATAAAATCTTTAAAAAAAAAAAGATTTTATTTATTTGAGAGAGAATATGTGTGTGCAAGTGGGGGAGGGGCATGCAGAGGGAAAAGCAGACTCCCCACTGAGCAGGGACCCCCCTCCCCCCCAAACTAGGCGATGTGGGGCTGGATCCCAGCACCCTGGGATCATGACCTGAGCTGAAGGCCCATGCTTAATCCACTGAGCCACCCAGGGGCTCCCAGTGTTTTTGTTTTTGTTTTTGTTTTTGTTTTTCAGTTTATTTTATACTTTGTGTTTTCTTTCTCTTTTCATGTTTCATTTGTTTTCCTCTACTTGTATGGAAATCAACTCTTCTTCTCCTCTTTTAGTGCTCACTTGAAAAATGGAAACATGCACATTTAAGTTCATAATTCATGAAGATAATACATTTTCCCTCCTCCTAACCCTCAGAATGCTTTAAATTTCCATCACACCTTCCCAGTCTGAAAAAAACAAAAAACAAAAAACAAAAAACCTTCCCGGTCTAGAAGCTACTGAGAACAAGATGACCCACAAATCAGACATCATTACTTTCCTTGTGAAAATTCATCCAGCTGACACTCGGCATGTGAGACGCGTGTGTATGTGTGTTTTGATTCGATAATGTTTACTTTAGACGTCCTGCTGAGCTGGTTCTGCCGCTCCCTTGTCCTTGAGCAGCTTTCTGGCCTCTCTTGTCTAAACAAGCTGCTAAAACTCAGCCATGGTCTGCCCTGTCCAGCCACTGCCCTGAAACCACTAGGAGGATGGAGGAGAGTGTGACCCCTCGGGCCCCTGAGGCTGGGCCACATGGGACACTCAGCCTGCAGGGTGCCCACCGGGGGGGTCGACCCAGCTGGGCACCTGCAGTCCAGGCCTCCCTCAGATGGTCATGACTGTCCTCCTCTGTCCCCTCAGCACCTGCCCACTGCTGTGGCTCCGGCCCCAAGTCCCATGGGGCTTTCCCCATCGCTGCCTGAATCCCTTGCCCTGGAACTTCCAGGCCAGGCCAGAGAGTGGGGATCACCCACAGCCATGCTCTGTCCCCTCCCAGAAAAGAGCCAATGACCTTTTTCAGCTTTCAAATAAAATAAACTAATAGCATAGAGAAAGGATAAGTCTTTATGATGATGTAAAGAAAAAGGCCAACTACACACCAGGATAAGCAGGTGCACGACCTGGAGAAGAAGCCCCCCTCCCCCACACTGCCCAGGCCTCAGAAGGGCGCAGGAGAAGAAGCATCATGGGGGGCGGGGAGCAGAGCGTGGAGGGCCTGCCGGCCGGTGCTGCTCCTCCGTCTGAAGCAGGCATCCTTCGATTCCGCTGTCTCCTAGGACCCTGTTCCGCTGTGTGTTGTATATTGAATTGTGTCCCCCAAAAGACACGTTCAAGCCCTAGCTTCGAGTGTGAGCTTATCTGGAAACAAGGCTACAGCACTCACATGGGTGCAGGGTGGGCCCTCGTCCAGGGGGATCAGTGTCCTTGTAAGAAGATGGGCACATGAAGACAGATGCGGGAACACCCCTGACGGCAGAGGCAGAGCCGCGCTTGTAGGCCTGGGCGCCCCAGGTGTCATAGGCACCACCGCACGCCAGACCCCGGAAAGACTCTCCCCCGCACGCTTCAGGGGCAGCACGGCTTCCGCCTGGGCCTCAGGCTTCCGGCTGCAGTACCCAGAAGACAAATTTCTGTCGTCTTCAGCCGCCCCAGGAAACTGCCCCAGCCCGTGTGCACACACACGGTGGCACCGTCGGCACAGACATGTCCTCTGGCGGGACGCATAGTACAGCAGCCCGTGGTGGTGTTGAGAGGACAGGGACAAGGAAGGCCCACGGCAGACCAGCCCAGCACCTGTGGACGGACGTGGGGCTCCGCAAGCGTGAGGCAAACAAACGGAAATCACAGGCTCATTCACGCAGCGT